TTTTTTCTTTATCTTTTTATTCAATACTATTAAATTCACTATAATTTTCAACCGTTGTACTTCGTAAATATTATTCGAATAAAAAATAACATTTCCAAACGTTATTTACTGAATCTCCACAATGAATCATGGGGTATTAGCATAATAAATATATAGTATTATTTTATTATAATAAAATATACCTTTTATAGTGAGTTCAAAATATTTTATAAATCAATACAAACTTGTAATACCTGTAGATAAATTACATTTATCATCGACAAATTTTATTACTAATTTACACACCATATGATATTATTATATAAGTTTATTTAATTGTTTCTTATATAAATAATTAATGAATTATTTAAATTATTAGTTGAATTAAAATTATTATTTTTGGGTATAGTTATATTTACTTATAAATTATTTTCTTATAAATTTACATATTTTAAAGATTCATAGCTCTACATTTATTTTCAAATATAATACTATGAAAATAAATCGTACACGTACCAATACATATAGTATACATTTTAGTTTTCTAAGTATGACTAATTCATTCACTTTCTGTTAACTCGATTAATAATAATCGATTAACAGCTTATTTTATTACGTTTTATTACCAAGTTATTGCTTTAATATTTGAGTATTTACGTTTCCCGTGAAATAACAGAACATTTGAACACTTTTATTTTATTTTTAATTTATTTTATACTAAGTAAATAATATTTTGTTTCATTTAAATTATTATTTTTTTAGAAAAATTTTATATTGGAGTGTTTATTCTAAAATATTGAAATCGTTTGGAAAAAAGTACGCTCATATCAATATAATACTTTTTAAAGAATTATTTGTGTATGGTATTTCAAAGAATACTTTAAACATTTCAAAAAAAATATTTTTTTTTTTTTTACCTTCGTTAAACATATTACAGTACAGCAATTAAATAATTAAAATATAACTATTAAATACATGAAAAATAACAACTAGTTTAATTGAGAAGCCAGAGAAGTTAATTAATTCGATAGTGGAATGGATGAATGACAGGAATGGAGCGAAAGTAAAGAGGGGATTAACGTCAGGAGTGATATAACCAAAAGAAAATAGAAAAGAAAAAAAGAGTTGTCGGCTAGGAAGAAGAGAAAAACAGTGGAAAATAAACGTCGACTTCTGATCTCAACCGGTGGTCCACTTCTAGGCTGGCTAGAAAAGATGAATGTAGGACATCGATGATGGTACGAAGACAAGATGACAAGTTAGAGTAGATTTTTTTCATGTGAGTGAGAGAGGTAGAAGCAAAAAGGAAAAAGACCATAGTCTGCTTAAGATCTTAAAACGACGTTAAACATTTATAGGAGACATGATGGGTGAGACCACTAATTTAAACCTGCTGCAGCACGGGAAAAGTTAGATGATGATTCTAAGATAGTTGAATTGTAGTACCCATCTGAGTTTCGGGTCAAGTTTAAGACCTAGATAAGTAACAGAGAGAGAGTGATAGTTGAAATGTATAACTATCGAGGACAATGTGGGACTTAATTGAAATTCGTCTACGAGTGAATATCATAGAATGACTCTTATTTGGAGGTATGGTGAAAAATTCTGCAGAGAGTTTAGCTGATAAAATTCTCAAATCATAATTTAACGTGTCGATTAATCTTTCAGGAAATTTACTAGAGGAAAATAGAACGAGATAGTCAGCGTATAAAAGGAATTTGAAATCTGGAGAAACTGAAAAGAAACATTTATGGAGTATATATACATTAAAGAGGAGAGAATTGAAGCAGTTTCCTTGAGGAAGACTTCTGTGTGTAGAACAAAAATCTAATTTAAATAAAATAACTACAAGCAAAATAAGTTATCATATAATATATAATTAAATATTATTATGATTGATGTGTCCACAAATGTGATAAAAAAAATGTAAATGTATCATATTATTAGAAAAAATAAAGTAACTTAAAATACCATTACACAATGCTTTTGTTCCCACAAACAATTAAACGTTTTAAATATTAATGTAATGCATAATAAAATTATAAAACAGTACACCTTGTAGTAATATTTAATGATGAAATTATGCTATACTAATTCTGTATAGTTAATTTTAAATTTTTAATTCACATTGACCGTTAGACATCGGGCAATGTAAATTATCCTACTTTGCATACATACATTTTTCGCATAATGGGTCATAATATAGAACAGGTCAAGTAGGTATACATTGTTTGATAATTCACTTTGACCGTAACATAAAATTATCTACTTGGTTATATTACTATTGAAGTGTGTGCCGTAAATATTCAACAAAATTATTAATTAATAATCAATGATTGAGAAGTGACCTCGGTTATTTCTAACAACCTCAAAGTGGCAATAATAAAAATACAAGTTAAAAACAAAATTAATTGTTATTTTTTTTTTTTATATAATTTTTTTCCGCGTAAAATTTTAATTTGTTAAATTACATTTTTCACGTCTAAAATACCGCCTATTACCCAGATATTTTTTGTCTTAATTTAACTCAATCATACTCCACCTTTTTTTTCTTTAGGCTACATAAAATGTTTTAAAATATTATATGGGTCGCAAGTCAAAATGACCGGAAAAATGATTCGAAAAAAAAAAATTAAAATAACCCTATATATTGTGTACCTATAACAAATGATAATTTAGTGCAAAAAAATTTAATATTTATTTGAAATGAGTGAAAATTTTGGTACCTATTGAGATATTCTTTTCACCATTTTGGGTGCATCAGGTAATTGCTACTCATAAAATGTCGTCAAGATGTGATTCTGTAAATCGATTTCTAAACACATTCTTTGCATATTTCATAAGTGATTATAAAGCTCCACATTTAATTTTTTTATTATTTTACAAATTTCTTACACATATGTTGATATGAACATTAAAGGAAAAATGTTAGTATATTTTCATGTTGTCTTGTTCCAGGAATTAAATTCCAAAATTATTATTGTTCACTTTTTTCTTTGAAATTAACTTCCAAATTTGTATCATTTTTTAACTCTATACATTCATCAAGTAGTTTAGAATGATCAAATAAAATTAATAAAGCTAATTTTGTTATACTTGTTATTTCTAAGTACCAAAGAATTTCTATAAGTTAAAATCCATTCTTTATATCTTTTAAATCCTGAAATATTCTTTAAAATGCATTGGATAAGACAGCTAAATGATTTAAAATTATTTTATTATTTGTTTAAGAAATAATAATTTCCTATTTTATATCTCTTGTAAGGGTAGAGACATTGTGTAGTATTTGGTTCTATATTTCCTTGTCATAGATATCCAGTTTCTCTTAAAAATGAAAACTTTATTTGTCATCTGCGAAATAATTTTATTTTCACCTTGTAAACCACGGTTAGGCTTATTAAGTTTTTCTGTAATATCACACATATAGCACATATAATCTAAAAGGCAATCATTGTTTTCAAGTTCATTAAATTTATTATTTTGCTATTTCTAATCGTAAAATTAAAAACATTTCAAGTACTTATCATCTATTAAGCCTACGGATCAAATAACTATTAATTTATTCTAATATACTTTTAGTAAATATTTTTAGTTAATTTTTTTTTTTATGAGTTAATTTGCTCGAATATAATTAACCACTCTTATTAAGTTTTTCACCACTAAATATACTTCTGAAATAGAGGTGCATGATGTCGAGTTTTCTTGATAAATAATACAATGAAATAATAAGATATTTGTTTATTTATATACTTTTTTTTCAACGGAGGAATAAATCCTTTTTCACATTCGGTTACCAATGAACATCTATTAATGTGCATACATAAACCAATTTTTTAATATCAATACCTATCATTGTTGTCCAGAAAATTCCTAATCTTATAGAGATAATCGATGCTTTTAGTTTGATTTTTTATTGGAATTCATTTCAAAAATCTTCAATAATAGAATTTAGTTCAATGCAGTATCTCACAAAAATAGAATATTTTGATTTGGCCGATATAACAGTGCTAAAATCAAAATTTAAGCTAAAAATTTTACAATTTTACAAGTCTTCAATGATACGAATGATATGCTCATAAACAAGTTTTGCAATATTTTCTATACGTCCAATGCAGGTAAAATCAAAGAGGATTGAAATTTTTTCAAATTTCAATATTATTTGATTTTTATTGCTAAATTATCAAATAGAAATGCTTATAAAACATTACTTCGTAATTTTTGGGTGAGTAAATGGTTTCATATATTTACCGAGTATTTAAAAAATTTCGTATGATGCAGTTTTCCATGTTTCATCAAACATTCAGTACTGTAAGTATTGTCAAATGATTCGTGTTTTATATAAATCAACGGATAGTATTATATTTTAAGTGTAACACTTCTATGAAAAATTAAACAAGTTGCTTGAACCGTTTATATTTGGTACATCAAAATATTTTTTTTCCCAATAATTTTGAAACATTGTATTAATTTATTTTTCATTTATTTTTCAAGGATAAACTTGCCATAATAAAGCAAAAAATATTCAAGTTTAAAATTATAAATTTATATTTAACACTATTAACGTTTGAAAAAAAAAAAAAATAAGAAAAAAATGCCTTATACCAACGCTATTATGCATTTACAATGTGACTAACCGTTCATAAAATTGTTTACATATTACACACGGCCATTTTAACGGTAAAGCCATAAAATATATCAATGACTTTATAAATAATAGAAATCCATAAACATAATTAGCCTTATCGCAATCACGTACGATTTCCACTTGATTGTTTTGTTATATTTTATATATATAATATTAATTTAGAAATTTATTTATTTTTTTATCAAATCATTAAGTTCTGTTTGAGGCACATAAAAACTTTTGGTGGGCCACAGGTTGAGCATCGCTGATTTAAACCAACTCAAATAAGTTAATTTTTTCTACAATTTTCATTTAGCCGTCTTAGAACATTTGACGGTTTCATTTGGAACGGAACGGTTTGAACAAGTTAAACAGTATTAATAAAAATAATAATTACCGTTTGACGGCGGTGGTGGTGGAGGAGCTGGTGGCCTATCGGAGTAACCATTGGCCAGATCTTCAGTATTTCCTGGATTATTGTCATCATCCGGCTGTAAAAATGAATGAAAAAAGTGTTAGTTTATCATGATAATGTATTTTTGTATATCACGAGATGTGACAAGACAGGATATGACTCAAACGGAATATAAATGTACACCGCGGTGTCAATAGGTTTTCGACGATTTCGTGATTGGCCATTTGTTTTAATGATTCACAAGCCATTTCAGTTTTTTAAGGGTATGTAAACAATTCAACAGGCCAATTATTCTTCCCCAACAGAAGACCAATCGTAAAAAAATAAATAAGTTTCTTATTTTTTTACATTATAATTTTCCTATCTAAATAATATTTACTGTGCATATAACTTATAATATCTACTACTTTTACCGTGTAAAGAACCATTTACCATTAGGCAATACTATTATTAATTTTATTCGATATGAATGAAAATTTTATATAAAGGTCAGTTGTAGGTGAAAATCGGTCAGGATGTGAGGGCACTTATTCTGCTCCAATTTTCACCCCTGCGACTTTTCACTATAATTTTGACGTGTTTATTCTTATCCGGATATTACGTTGACTGAGACTCACATGAATCTCACGGACCCATACATGCATGGATTTAGAGATCTTTGGATCATTAGACTTCGTGCATGTAGGTACCATATGTGGACCTGCAGCTGATGAAAATGTTTAACAATTCAGCCGGTGTTCAAATAATAGTAGTCTTACTGACTTACCCTTAGAATGAAATGAAAATCATTTCTCATCGAAGTTTTGTACAACAATACTGATGACCCAAATTTTTAAGAATATTAAGTAAAATTCCAAAAAGTGTGTTTACTATTGTACTAATATTAACCAGCTTTTCGTACTAGTGATATATATAATTTTTTTCATCACAGCAGTATCTTTGGGCATAATAATTGATAACAAAATTAGATATTTTTAGTCTTATAAAAACATAATATTCACTAAAACCGATATTTGGTATTGTACTCAGATAACGGATAAGTCAGTTTGACAGTAATAATTTACTATAGCAAATATAACTATACCCTATATAGATTATTACTTTATAATTAGATACTTTTACTAACTTTTTTTTCGTGCATAACCTTTTTCACACAATTTTCAGTTAGGTTACATTAAGTTGACAGTAATATTAAAAATTATACATTAATCCCCATTTCATACTTTTAAAAAACATTTTTTAACAGGTTTTTTTTCTTTTATGGTTTCATCATGTTTAAAATTATACAATCGCATTTAAATACAGTAATAACATTATTATTATTTCGTTTAATTAGCATTTAAAGTGTTAAATTATAAACTAATTTTTAAAAAAAAAATTTACGCAGTTCAGCGGATTGTTTTTGTTAGAGATTCCACATTTTTTATTTATTTATTAATATTGTTCCAAGCAACTGTTTTAATATCATTTATGAAGGAAATACTGCAATGTAAATCAGAATCGTATACTAAATGAATATGAAGATAAGAAATTTAAGAACGAATAAAAGAACATGATGTAGATCATAAAGGTAAATAAAATCCCGTTGTTTGTGTTTAACAATATAACAACGACCTGTAATTAAAGAAAATCAAAGTATTACATTAAGGTGGAATACAAATCGAAAATTGCTTGGAAAGTTTCAGCAGACGAAATAGATCAAAAATATTTACTGCGCAGAAACGTACGTTGTATTGTCCACCAAATTGGGTATAAAATAATGGACAAAAAAATCAAAAAAAATTGGAAAAAAAACAGTGGAATACTACGGACAGGAACAGTGAAAAACGGTAAAAAACAGTAAAACGGCACATTGATAACGTTGATGATGGTGTACGAAATTCATGTGATACAAGTAATAAACAAATTAACGTATTTCCATTAATCGACGGCCACAACTTCTAAAATATAACACGGGGAGAAACTATTGGTATGAATAAATAGTGGAGAACAAGTGAACTAATCAGTTCGTACTGAACAGCGAAACCGTCAACACATTGTGTTGGAACTCGCAACGGGTTCGAAATGTAAGAGCTCTGCCAAGGAGATATAATCACTGTCTGTTGCCGATAAAAAAAACATTTGTGAGGATTTCCGTATTGGTAAGTGTGTTTGACACAATTATATTAGCTGTCGTTCAAATTCGAATGCAAGTATGCCATGATTTTTCGTTTTGTGCTTACGCTTTTTTAATTTTTGACCCGATTAACATTCAACATAATACCCTTAACTTCTTTACGGTTAACGACCATCTAAAATAAAATTATTATTCTAAAATAATAAACTAATTGCGTTGCCTATCGATAATGTTACGATTAATTTGTTGAATAATTACATAGTATATCGTTTGTTTTCCGAAATTACTCACAACAATATTAGGTGTTGTTTTTGATATATAATTTTATATAATTTTATAATTTTATATAATTCATATAAGAAAATATAATTTTCTTATATGAAATGCACTTGGGATAGTAGAAAACTAAAATTTCATTGCCTAGGTCAGTGGTGGCTAAACTACGGCCCGCCATCATTTAATATCTGGCCCGCGAAAGTCTTCTATATTACAGCACTTATTTGTATAACTGTAATATTTTGCATTTACGTAAAAAAAAATTTAGAATGCATTTTTTTATGGCCCGCGATAAAAAAAAAGTTGTTTTTTATGGCCTGAGGAAAAAAAGTTTGGCCACTACTAGCCTAGGTTATCGAAAAATTTCATACGAGGCATTGCAAAGCCATCGATAATTACGGTTTCAAAAGATTTCTAAAGCATAGATACACATGGAAATATGGAAATTTTTCGCGACGTTTGGTCGGAATGTACATCTAACCACTAGATGTCTTAGGACGAACAAATAAATTCCGATAAAAACCTAAAACACATGTTTATTCTACAGCATTATCATCATCAGTCTCGGAACACCTACCCACGGACGATATCCAAAACAACACGGAAATCGCGTAAATGTTTATAAATAATAACACGTCCCGAAAAACGCGACGGACGTCTAAAGTGGTTCGCTGAATAAATCTAAGCTCGAGCCCGAGATGCGTGCGTATATCCGGTGTGTTTGTATTCCATCCTGACGGCTTCAAAACGTCTAGAAAAAACAAATAGCACTTAACCACGATTACGTATGTGACACGGTTCACGTACAGCACTTAATTCTTACAACCACATGAGTGTCCGCGCGCACTATCGAGCTACAAAGTATTTTTCGGAATATTATCACGGGGGTAAAGGGATCACGGGGATTTATTTTCCTTTTTCTAATTTTTATTCTTCCCCATTTTCGATGCATATCATAATTCAAAAGGTTCTGTTGTTCCTTAGTTCCTAGCTTGTGCACTGCACTCGAAATGCTGTTAAAAGAGCCGCTTTTGCTCATTGATAACAGTATTAAAATTTATAATTATTCATTTATTTTTTTTTTTTAGAGTTTATATCGATAGAGTACTTATACTATTATACTTTGATTTAATCGCCATATTAATAAAACACTTTATACATCTTTATTAAACCAGAGTCTACAAATGTTATGCTAACATTCAAACATACAAAAACCATCGATGACAAGCTTATACGTTGTTAAAAAAAAAAAAAAAAACTCATGGATAACGTGCTTTTTGAGAATTTTATTTTCATTATTTTATCCATTCAAACGGTGAAATATTCGTATATTTTATGATATTCCTATGATTTTCTGAGACGTACGGGATAAATATTTGGGAGTACATCCTTTCGTTGCCCACTATTAGATGCTTGATCTGGATCCACGCATGCTTGAACGTATAGGCTTCTCAGATGTAAATGTTTTTAATTAACTGTCAGACTAGTCGATCGTGATCGTACGTCAGACATTGTATAAGTGTTGACGGTCTGCAATATTCTGTTAGAAAGTTAACAATTAAAACACTTTAATTAAAGTCATTTCCAGAAGTTCGTTTCAAGTGTAAAACTTGGTATACGATGCATATAGATACATAATAATATATATTACACACACGCAAGCCCCTTAGACACCTTTTCCCTTGGAACCGTGCCTGTACACATTGTGTACAATAACAATACGTCTCGGTAGTGAAATCATTTTTTATCACTAAAACGCTCGTATACAATATGTTTTGAAATGCATTTTTAAAATTATAGTGATATAATAACGTACCGTCTTCTGTGCTGGAATCTAAACACGCATTGTGTATGATAAGGTATTATCTTATATTTTGTGCGTGAAATACAACGATGTGACATATTAACACGCACATTATTTTCGTTCAGATTGCTCAGAATTTTGAAAACAAAAAAAAAATAATTACTCGGTTGAAAAAAATACCGAACAAATTTCATTTTTTGAGCTACAAATCATGGACCAATAACGCAGAGTTCGATACGATAGCATATTTCATACACTCACCTCTTCAGTGGCGCAGAAACCTATATTCAAGTAGGTTAGATGCCCTATCTGATAATATGTTAGTCATGGCTGAATTGGTACAGTATCCAGTGGTTAGCTCATTAGTTATTCTGTATTATAAATAAACAGGGTTGGTAATAAAACCGTTTAAAAATTTTAATTTTTAATTAAAAAGACTGAAAGCACATCTACCAGTCCATCGGTATAGCTTACACATTTAACTTTATAAAGTGTTAGTTTAATGTTTCGATTTGCTAAGTTCATTTTTCGAAAACGAGAGGGGGATGTTCTAGTGCCTAATGAAATAAATATTATGTTATATTAGGTTTACGACTGTTATTGGCGATGTTTCTCTAGTTTCACTAGTAATGGCTTCCGTTCTGGGGTGTACGTCTAAGAAAACCATTTATCAACCACTGGGCTGAAAAAAAAACGGTCAGCTATGAAGACCTGGAAATTGTGATGGATAGTTGAGAAGAGGTGAAGAGGAGAGCAGTTAAACGGATTTGGCATGGCTTTTGTTTTAAATGGTGAGCTCACTAAGCTTTTCGTTTGGTTTATAGACCCCGTTCTACATTCTGCTATACGCATCCGACATCGACGTGCCAAAAATTATTGACAAGATTCTTGCAGCAATCTCGTGGATTTACTTTTCATAATATAAACGACTCGGTTTATGACATTTTTTCTTGCAGCCGTCGTGGACGGATTGACTTGCGTAAAAAAAGGCAAACTATAATATTACGTATTTTATGTACAGTCTAATGCCACTGCAGACCTTAACAATGATAAATTCATTTTTCTGCTTCTCTTTTTCCTCATCTCTCTCTCGCTCTCTCTCTCTATTTCTATATCCCTCACTATCTCTCGTCTTCTATCAACATTATACGATAACAATACATATGTACTCAAACTGGTATAAAGTGTATTTCGTTTTCCTCGCGTTCGCTATTGCTGTCGTCGTCCGACGACGTATTGTTGTGTTCTACATCACATATAGGGTATTATAAAACGAACGTGTACTAATATAATATATATTATTTGGTTTATAAGTATGAAGATAGTGCATTTTACTGTATGAATTTGTAACGTATTTTTCATTATCTTTCTCTCAATCTCATTCCATTGTTTCTGTCCGTTATTTTTCTGTGATATTAAACAGATTATCAATCTGATTAGCAAAAAAAAAAAAAAATGAAAAAGATACGCAGCTGCAATACACAACGACTAACTTTATCATTTATACTATAACAAAAACAAAAACATATACAATGGCTTTGTGGACTGTGATATTAGACTATCAGCGAGTCGTTTTTAATCCGACGAAATAGATATTATAACAATATCGTTACGGGACATACAATATATATATATAAAAACACGCAACACGGTTCTATTGTCTTCGCCTTGCAATAAACGAACACATGAATATAAATGTGTATGAACGACTGCGAAATATAGTGAAACGTCTACTACGTTTGTTGCAACTCCGACGCGATACGATGCGTTAAGAATATCGCACAGGAAAACGGAATTATGTGCAACAGCCACCCATGCTGTTGTCCTGGGCGATGTGTTCGCGGATGTCGATTGGAACATTTGCAGATATCAGGACTTAAACGGTTCAAATGCTCGTACTAGATACTCAATTCATGTTGAACAAAGAATTGTTTTACCTATGATTTAGTGGTTTGAAATAAACGATTACGTATTTACGTATTACGTATTCGTAATGACTGCTGTACTTTCGAACGGTCCATTTATACGTAGGTGTGATAAAAGCTAAAAAAAATATTTTCTGTGTTTAGCGCACATCAACTTTACGATATCTGTGATGAACAAGTGACTGTTTACACGCGTTCAAGTTTCGTATATTATACACGTTTATTATTATTCGTACTACACAAAATGCGTAGTGGTACACTCAGTGTTAGACCTCGTAATGTGTACACACGGTACGGTATAGTGTAATACTAGTGTTGCACTGACCCTGCACCAGTTACGTTAATAGTATATCGTCGAACGAACAAAAATAACAACTGCACACCACCGACAAAAACGCCAGTCTTTTGATGATGCCCGGGCGAAATTCGTAAAAGACGACATTTGGTGTTTCAATTATATTTCATCCACTAAATCGATATGGTTACGCTAGGCTAATAATAGTTTGCAGTTCTGTTGTAACCTGTAATTATAAGTATCTATTTTTTTTCCTTTTTATGCGTGGAAATTTAAAATTCTCATTGTATTCGGCATGCACTATATACCTGTGGGAGAATCGTCTCAATGTTAATTTTCTTAACATAAAGATGCATATATATTTATACATATCATGTAATACAATTAAAAACAAACGTTTGCAAAAACCCACGATTCGATTTGAATTAATTAGGACTGATACGCATTCATAATAGTCAAAGTAAAAAGTATAAATCATGATTTTGTTGATATTGGTCATTGAGAACAGTATTTGCTTGATTGTTCGCAAATCTGCATTGCGCATCTAAAACCAAATCGATTTTTCTATTTTTCCGTTTGTGATCTTTTTAAAAGTACGATTTTTCTTTTAAAACATTTACGTATACACATTTTTTTTTTTGCGTAATTCAATCGACTGTATATAAATTATATAGATGTTCTAAAGATGATTTAATATTTATGGAATAGTAGCACCGAACATTTTTCCATATTTTTATAATATTTTGTCAATTTTTCATTATTATTATTATAAAACTGTTACTTCTTATTAAGTGATGATCGGAACATTACTGGTTGAAACTATGTAAATAGACACAAAAATAAAATTCACTTTATGGTAAAACCAATAAATTCTTTATTTTACTCAGAATATAAAACATAATATCCGAATTGTACTATTCGATTACAAAATATAAAGCGAGAAAAAATAATATATTAAATAAATATAAATACGATGTGAAGGTACCTGTTTATAATCCAACTAGGATATTATTGATTTGTTATGATTAGTAGAGGACACAAAGTTCTCAAAAGAAAATTCGAAAAAGTTTGTGTGTGCGTGTGTCTGAATATGGTTTATACACATAGAATGAGAAGTTACGAAATGTATGCGTTGTACCAAAAATTAAGAATGTTATAGAGTTTTGATGTTTCGTGGGACTTATGCGGTAAAGGGTCCCCCCCAGGGTAGTTTTGAAGGAAAAACGCAAACGAATCAGAAGAATTTCGTTTTTGAATATTTCGAAATTCAATGCAGAACAGTGATCTTGAGTGATTTTAATTCATTTTTGAGTAATAAAATATAATAACACATGAACCACGTAATAATATTACATTACCGAATGGAAGAACTGTTGTTATTTTTATTGTTATTTTAACAGTTTGAGTTTGTTTTTTGTATTTTTGCGTTCAGTTATTTTACGGGTCCTGACAAACGAAAATTTTGTGTGCGCAAATACTTGAACTACATGGAGACCAGTGGATAAAAAATCCGTAGAACTCTTGCCTTGTACCTACGATTTGTGGTCACCAGCCAGTTTTCAGAAAACAATAATCCTATTAAGAGTTATGAGATCACCGATTTTAAATCTCATCCTAAACCATATAATCTTTATAGAGCTTTCATCTGCCAAGATATCGAGATATCATTGACATTTTTCTTTTACCTTTGTGCTAGTAAACTGTCACGACAAACATCTGAGTATATGCGAACGTATATAAATGCATTTTTATTTATTTTTTATTATTTGCGTCACTGAGTTTTATTGTTTTGAGGCACAGATAACACATAGCAGATGAACGAAAAATACAACAGTATCTATACACGGATTTCGATGTTTCAAATTTTTGTTTTATTCTTATCGCACGAAAAAATAGTAAGTCGATATAAATATGAATATATTTGTGCATTATAAAATATTTTTATTTTTCCATTATACTGTTCGAATTTTATGACTTGAAAAGTATATATAAGTACATGAATAAATAATATAAACCACATAGACGAATAAAATTTTCTAAAATAAAGTTATGGTGTAGTAAAAACTATTAAAATTTAACTGAATATGAATAGTTCTCGTAGACGTACAAAATTTATCACATAGCACAAAATAATAAAAATAATATACTTATTGAGATTTAGTAAATAAAAAGTAAAGGCTTAATTAAATGTATTTGAACAGAACGGATGTAGGATTCACACAAATGTGCGGTGATATTTTTTATACAAATCAATAATTTTCATCATAAAATTGTAATTTTGAATATGTGTATGATAATTTAAAATAATAACTCGCTTATGAATAAATGAAAAATATTGCTCACTATAATCAAAGCCCGAGAGTTTGTGAAAACCAGGTTTATAAAAATAGATATTCAATAACAACATTTCCTTTGTATTTTTAAATAGGTAACTGTTAATATCAAATACGATCTGTTTGGTTATATGGAATTATGAGAATAACATAGATTTTCCCACAATTTACTTTATAGCTGCAAACCTACACCGCTTTTATTTATTCATTTAAAAACTTGTATAGTTGTGTTTATAACTTACTGCCTACTATAATTACTTCAAGTTTTAATATGAGTAATTCTAGTCATAATACTGATGATGAAAGTGATTTAGAACCACATAATGCATCTCTTTCGACTATTTCTCTGCAAAATGTATGTTTACCTTAGTCTAATTACTCCAAATATTTTTTTTTACAAAAGTATTTGAGTAGTATTTTCAATATTTGAATAAAAATATATTTGAGTATTTACTTAAATACTTTTTAAAAGTATTCTTTACAGCTCTGGTTATACGTTTAGATTATATTTATACTGTATATTGTTATATAAAACGAACGATATAATATTATCGAAACTGATTGATAATCACCATGGTCAAAACAATTTTCAAAGCAGTTAAACTTAAAATTAACAATGTTTAAAAACTGTTTTTAGTTGTATTCGTTGCATATATGTATAGTTCATATTCGTAGAAAAGTTTAGAAAACATTTTGAACTATTTTCTAACAACATCTTGCGACTTGCGACGAGAATAATGACACTGACAAATAGTGATTGTTCCTCCGGATTGGAATTCCAAGACGCGGAGTCATACGTGTGTGCAATGTTCATTTTCTCGACAAAAAATCCCAACCGTCGAAGTGGTATTACAACACACAACTGTGGCGATGATGGGCATTTGGACGCACAAGTTACCATATTGACTTCTTGGGATCAATCACTTTAGTAAAACATTAAAATCTATTCTTTCCGGAGGCAAGTTAGACAAGCGATCAGGTAACAAAATTAATAATAATAATTTGAATCCTTCCAAATCTTTTGTTCTAGGAAAAATGAACTTTTACAGAAGATGATGCGGGAAATGAATTGCCACTGCGCGGTTCAAGACCTTTTGTGTTCGCGCGCTACAGACACTCGGCGCACCCACACCCACGTTTGACTAATTGATATAAATAGCTGCGGGTAGGTCACGTAAGAATATTTTTCGTAGAGCCAAACACGAACCAGAGGAAAACAAAAGAAAAGCGATAGTTCGTTGACCACTGAGTCGTTGGGCATTTAATCTTTTTCCATTATTTTCTATTGGCTAGACGAAGGCGCTCGTTAACCCAAGTGTGGGATACAGTACGATTATGCACCGTTATCCTTTTTTTGACCGAAAATATCGCGACACGATTGCACGAGCCCCACTCTTTGTTCCTGATACGGAGACGTGTTGTTTTTAGTTATTACTGTTTCGTTTAAAATTCGTAACTTTATTAGACACTGTTGCACATTTGCAGGGATAACGCTATCGATGGACCGTACTTAAACTTGAGAGCTTAGTGTAGGCGTGTAATATGTATTCATATGATAACTGATTATTAGTCATCATTAATTAATGAATTTTTAATTAAATCATTAATAATTAGTATGTTCTGAAATACTCATAGCATTTAGAATGCGATTGTGTTTCAACCGTGCATTGACCTCGAGGCCGTGTTCGACGACCGGCAAAATCTGAGTGAACGAGAAAGTTATTTTTTTCTGCATAAACATTGTCCGTGGACATGGTTACCACGGGTGGAACTTGAGAAAAGCAAAAAACATAGGGCCTAGTACGAGTGGATAAAAACGTGGTCCGTTGGATGGGTGCAAAATAATAAACAACTAAGATCTTCAATTGCAGTACACGCGTATCGGATTTAAAATGTAATAATCGCAGCAATGTGCACGTCTG